GCCCATGCTGGATGGCTCAGCCAGCGCACCCTTCCACCTCAACCCATCCCCATCCCATCCGGGAACCCCCTACTTTATACGCAGAAAACTCTCCAGTATCCTTTCCCTAGCAAGTATCTCCTCTGCTAGCCGAGTCACACTCCCCAGCCCTGCTTCCTTCAAGAGCCAGGAATCCTCTTTATACCCTATGTTAATTTGTACCCTATACCAGCCAAGCCCCTGGTCCTCGTCACCAGCCTATCCCCCATTCCTCACCCAGGTCCACTTCCCTAACCCTGCTCATCCTGTCAATACCTCCTTAGAGAGAGGACCCCTTTCCTAGGTAGTCCGCCTGCCCCATGTTGTGCAGCCTGCCCCAGCGGATTACCCCTCCCCCATCGGTAGCCCTTAACTTGCCTATAATGTGGAACCTAGCCATGCCTTCTTTTTCTCAGCCAGGTCTCTTCACTTGGTCAGGCTCTCTTCATCTACTTAGATCTTCCTCCCCAACTAAGGCCCCTTCCCCAGCCACGGCCAGGTCCCCAGAGAGGCTCCCTTTCCCTGCTAGGCAGGCTTTCCCTATACCTACCTACAGCCACCCACACCCACCTATACCCTCTCTGCAGCTGAGCCACATTCCCAGCCAGTATCCTCATCTGCAGCAACCCTCCCCGGGGCCCCCTGCCCCAGCTAGTTATCCCTCCCTAGCCTGTGCCCAGCCTTTCCCCTCTTCAGCTGGATCACTTTCCCAAGGAGCTGCCCCTTCACTGGCCTTTCAGAGCCAGTTCCTCCTTCCCCAGCCACACTTCCTCGGAAGCACCTGCCAAGTCCCTCCCTAGCTATGTGACCTTTCCCTGCCAAGACCCTTTCACCAGCAGGTGCCCCCATGCTAAGCCAAGTCTCCTTGTCCTAGGAGCTCTTTCCTAGCCAGACTCCTCCCCCCAGCCAGGCTCTCTTCACTGAAGGATCCACATCCTCTGCCTCAGTTTATGCTCACCTTCCCAGACAAGCCCTTTCTCTAGCTTATTCCTTCTTGGCCAGACCTCATCCCATCCCTACTCTGTGCCCCCTCAGCTACGTCCCTTTTCTCAAGCAGGTGCCCTCCCTCGGCTACGACTTCCATCAGGGCACATGCCTTCATTCGAAGGCAGAATCCCTTCCCTACCAGGCTCCTCCACCTGCTATGTCCCCTCTCCTGGCGAGGTCCACTAACCTGCCGACTGTCCCTTGCCAAGTTTATGTGGTTCTCAGCATTCAAACCTTTCCCAGCACCAGCTTCCTTTCTAAGCCCGTCCGTCCCTCCCCAGGCCGACCTCCCCCAGGTTCTATTCCCCTGCCAGAGCCTCTCCCCAGTCAGGCCACGTTTCCTGGCCAGGGTATTTTCACGCACGCACGCACACACACACGCACGCACACGCACGCACGCACGCACGCACGCGCACAGTGTTCCCCATACCCGCCAGTCTCCAGTCCTCAGCTTGTGCCACCCTATCATGCCTGTGTTCCCTTTACAAGACAGGCACATTCCCGCATCTAGGTCCCTTCCCCAGCCAGTGTCTTACTCCCCAGCTTACGCTTACTGTCCCAGCCGGATTTCTTTCCCTGACCAGGTGCCTTTTCCCGGGCTTTCCCCCCTTTAACAGTCAAGAATTCCTTTCTCTTCCTTTGCCCCCCAACTCAACTAGGTCTCCTTCTCCGGCCAGACCTACTTCCCCACCGTGTGCCCCAGTCCAAAGCCAGATTCCCTTGCCCACTCTTGTCCTTTCCCCCTGACTGTTCCCTCTTCCCCAAGATATTCCTCCTTGCCCTGCCGGGTCTACTCTCCGCATAAGCATGCTTTCCTGGCCTGGCCCCATTTGGCCACCTAAGCCCCTATGCTCAAGCCACCTTTCCCAGCTAGTGCTCCCCAGACATCTCCCCAGGCCCAGCCAGCCTCACTTCTCCTTCCAGGACCCCTTCCACACCATATAGCACTTCCCCAGCCTGTGCCCCTTACCTGTCTAAGCCTTCTTCTCCGTCTAGGCCCAAATTTCCTAGCACGGACCCCCTCTACTCCCGCTACCCCCTTCTTGGTCAGGTACCTTTTCCCAGCCACCCCCCTTTCCCATTTGGGTCCTCCTCCCAGCCTGGTACCCTTCTCCAGCCGTATCCAACTTTCTAAGCCTGTTGGCTCCTTCATCAGCCAGGTTTCTTTCTCCATCCAGTTCTTCCCCAGTCAGACCCTGTTTCCTAGTCAACGTCTCTTTCTCCAAGAATTCCCCCTTTCCTTCCAGACCCCTCTCGCAGGCAAGCGCCTCTCCCTTGGATAGGCAGCCATTTCCCCATGCAGCAGACACGGACCCCTCTATCATCTAGTGTGCCCTTCCAACCAGGCCTCTTGCCCCCGTGGGTAGTCCCTCCCACCGGCCTAGTCCTCCTTCCACTGTGTCCTTCTCCACCCGGCCTCCTTTCCAGTCCCGTTCTCGGCCCCTACCCTGATCCCTTCCCCAGAATGGGACCCGGTTCCCAGCCAGCTTCCCTCCCCTTCCCTGTACAACCCACGTCGGCAGGGCCACCTTCTCCTCTCAGAAGCCCTTCGCTAGCCCTATGCCCCTGCCTCCAGCCTGGACCACTTCCCTAGCCAGGACTCCTCCAGGAATCCTCCTGCAGCCAGGCCCACTTCCCCAGCTTGTGTCCCCTTGTCCATCAAGGTCCCCTACCCGAGCCAGCCCCCTTCCTCCACCAAATGCAGCTCCTCCCAGTGGAGCACCCTTCCCATTCCTAGAGTCCTTCACCAGCCTCTAACTATGTCCCATTCAGGTCATAACTATGTCCCACTTGCCCACCTGTGTCCTATACCCCCATGCAGGTCCCCTTCTCTACCCAGACCTATGCCCTGTTTGCCAACTAGTCCCCTTCCTCAGCCTCTGCCCCTTCCCCTGCCACGTCCCATTCTTCCTCCTAGGCTGACCCCATCCCCAAATTTCACCTCCTTCCCAGCCGGGCACGCTTCTATAGGTTATGCCTCCCTTCTGGGCCTCGTCTCCCTTCCACAGCCAGTATTCTGGCCCCGATAAAAGGCCGCCTTCTTACAATGCACCCCAATCCCTGTTTTTCTCAGGGGCCCTCTTCTCCTCAGCTAGCTGGACATCTGAAACTTATCTGGTGCACATTTACACAGTGAGCTATCTGGCAGGATTTCCCTATTTGCATTTTGGGACCCCGCCCCCAGCCCCCAAATACCTCAAAACAGTGGCACTTCTTCCCCTGCTGCAATGTAGCCCTGTATTGGTGAGTTTGGGGAGGTGGGAGCTCTTTTTCATGCACAGCAATGAGAACACCTCTAAACAAAACCATTTCATGAGGTTTTTAGCCGAGTGAAACATCAGCTCAGGACAGCCTCTAGATAAAGTCCCTCCCTAAATCCTTTCCAGGGAAACACTCCACTCCAGGCTGCCACCATCACCCTGGGCTAGGCCTCCTCCCCAAAGGCTCATCTGTCCCCCAACTCCTCTCCCTAACACTCCAGGATTCCCCTGGTGAAGTAGCTCCTGGGATACAAACTCTATGTAAACTAAGTCAGTGACACAAAAATAGAGAATCAGATATTTTTAACACTTTTATTTTTAAAACAAGTTGCATAATATTTTTTTGAATTTATATACTTTATTGTAGAACATTGGCTGTGTACAATGAATTTTTAAGTGAATTTATGTAACCACTTAAATGCAGAATCTAAAGATTGCAAACATTTTAAGTTGTTTATTGCAAATCATTTCACTTTTACTATTCTACTGGCAAATTCAAGATGGCAACAAGTCTCCACCAACAAAAGAATCCTGCTCACTTTTTTTTTTTTTTTTTGCCTCATGCCAGTTGTAGATGTAACAGAACGGATTAACTATTTTTACTCCTTAAAATCCTCTAAAATAGTTTTCTATCTCTAACAATTAATGCAAACATGCTAAGTTCAGATCTTTCAAACTTTATACCACTTGTTTGTACCAACAAACTGGATCAACTATTTGAATAAAGTTGTATCCTTTTATGTCAGAGACTAAAGAAAACTTACTGGTTCAGATCTCACTCTTGTAGTAAGCTAAGCTACCTATCAGAGTGTCTCCTTTTGCTTCATACCAGTTGCAGACATAATGAAATGGATCAACTACTTGAATGAAGTCATATCCCTTCCTATCTTTAACAAAGGACATTAAATTGAGATCTTTCACATCTTGCAGCAAACCTTATCCAACCTGCCAGTTTTTGTAAATTTGATTATTTAATTTCTATGTTTAGCACTTACGTTTAGTTTCCAAGCTTAACAAAGGCTTCAAGTAGAATTTAGCAAATACCTGAATAACTAAAGCTAATTGGAAACCACACAAGTTTGTAAGGAAAAAGCAAAGCAAAACGCAGGAGGAGGTCTCATCCATAACTTGAGACATCTCCAGAATAGCCCAGCTGGGGGTAAAAAGTAACCGTCAAAACAGCCCAGGACAGATTTTTTTTTTTTTTTCCCTCCAAAGAACTAGTAAGCAAAAGGCATTCACAAAGCATTTCGATCACAAAAACTCCAATATAATACATATAAAACTCCATATACTACATTCACGGGACAATCTGAAGATCCTGAGCTCAACTACTTTTTCCCAAGTTAGGAGCGCATCAAACCAAATTTCCACTTTTATCTAAAAGGTAAGTGCAGCGTGACCAAGTGACCAATTGTTGTCGGCGAGGGAGACGAAGCCCCTTAAGGGCGAGTTAGCAAACCTACTCCCTCCTCGCACGCAGGTGGAACAACACAGATATACCTGTGTGCTGAGTCCCCCCACCCCCCTAGCAACGTAAGGGCGAGAGAAGAAGAAAGATCTGCCAGGTAGCAGGGGCAGCGGCGTGGGGGCGGGGAGAGAGAGGGGTCGACGTTAGAGTGAAACGAACACAGAGAAAATCGGGAAAACCGAAGGCAAAGAACAAAAAAAGAAAACCAACCAAACAACAACAACAAAAAAAACCGGAGCCTACTGGGTAGACGCGGCGGCAGCTGCGGCTCCAGCGGTGACGGCGGCGGCGGCGTGGGGCCTAGAAGAGCCGCGGGGCCGCGCCCCCGACGGCGCCGGCTTCGCGCGGCTTCACCGAGTTGTAGTGCTCCCCGAGGTTGCAGGTGTATTGCAAGTAGACGAGGGTGAGCGGCTTCTGGGCATACTCCTCCCCAATGACGAGGGTGGGCGATTCGGCCTGGATCACCTCGATGGGGGTCTGCAGGACGTGCGACAGGGCCCTCAGCTCCAGCTGGCTTCCCCACAACACGCCGCACACGATGTCGTCGCAGTAGCTCAAGAAGTCGTCGCGGCTGAAGATGTCGCCGGTTTCGGGGTCGCTGAAGAAGGGCAGGAAGTCGTCGACGTGCTTGCGCATGTACATGGCGGTGCGGTTCCGCAGGCTCTCAATGGTCACCGAGAACACCAGCTGGTCTTGGATGGCGCGGTACATGCAGTGGCGGTCGGTCGGGATATCCTTCATCTCCAGGTTCTTGGATCCCAGGATGGCGGAGAGCTTCTCCTCCTCCTCGCGGCGGAAGCTGGCCAGATGCTCCATCTCCATCTCGGCGAAGCTCCCCTGGCGCTCTCTCTGGAGGGCTGCCCTCCTTTCGCGCCTTTTCTGTGCCCTCGACACGCTGGGAGGCTGGTTCTCAAGATCCATCTTGGCAAGATCTTCTGTGACCAAATCGAGGATGCTGTTATCAGGGCAACTCTCTTGGAGCGTCTCCATTTCCTGCTGGTGCTTCTGCTCCAGCTCGGCCTCGAGGCGCGCCACGTCTAGGAGCAACTGCTTTCTTCTCTTCTTGTCGGTCTTGGGGACCGAGTTCTTCATGCCCTGGATGCGGGCCACAAGCTCTTTCTTCTCTCGATAGTGGCGTCGTAGCATCCGCTCTCGCTCTCTCTGAAAGTCGTCCATGATGTTTAACGGCAGGTGAGACTCGAAGGTTGGGCGTAGCTGAAGTACCCGCTACACTTCAAACTGACCGCTCAAGGGAGGGAGCTCGCCAACCGCCAGCGTCTCCTCAGCCTCGCCGCATTGTTGCACTCGGCTCGCTTCACGCGCCGGCGGCCCCACCCTATTAACGGCTCTGTCAGTCATTGGCTACTGTCTCCCCATGGCCACGCCCTTGAGAATGCTTGGCACTAGGACTGGCTGTCGCGAGAGCCTAGACACGCGCCCATTAGACCCCCGTAGCAACGGTTTCTTCTGCTTTTAGCACGGCCCGAATCTCGAATCTCGTGCCTAAAATCTCGCTTTCGAATATTACGTGTAGTAATTACTCTCGTAGAATTACTCTTGTAGAATTACTCTTGTTAATGGACTCTCACTCCCTACTTCATTCCCAAACCTGAACACAGCTGAGACACTAGTCAGGCTTGAATCACATGACAAACCACGTCAGACAAATGTGCTCTGAGGATAGACTTCCCGTCACTCCTAGAGTTCAGGTGGCAATTCGGCTTTCTCATTTTTCAGGTTCCTTGAATGGCGAACCTTTTTTTTTTTTTTTAATGTTTTATTTATTTCTAGGAGAGAGAGAGAGAGACAGCGTGAGCAGGGGAGGGTCAGAGAGAGAGGGAGTCACAGACTCTGAAACAGGCTCCAGGCTCTGGGCTGGCAGTCAGCACAGAGCCCGACGCGGGGCTCGAACCCACGAACCGCGAGATCATGCCCTAAGCGAAAGTCGGACGCTTAACCGACTAAGCCACCCAGGCGCCCCTTGAATGGCGAACCTTTACATTTCCTTATGTTCCTGGGAACACAGAGTCCTTTCATGTTCTCACAGTAATTCGAACTGTCCCGTCTCAGTATAGGAAGGCAATAGCCACAATTCTTTTCTTTCTAATGTTTATTTATTTTGAGAAATAAAAGAATGCTGAAGGGGAAGAGAGAGACAGAGAGAGAATCACAAGCAGGCTCTGCACCATCAGCACAGAGCCCCGCGTGAGGCTCGCAACTCACCAACCCTGGGATCCTGACCTGAGCGGAAATCAAGAGTCCCACCCTTAGCTGACTGGGCCATCCAGTCAGTTAAATTTATATTTAAGCTAATTATTAATATGTTAGGGTCTAATTCTGCAACTTAATGTTTTCATGTTTGTTCTGTGTTCATTTCTGTTTTCTTTTTCCTACCTTCCTTTGGGTTCCCTGAACATTTTTTAGAATTCAGTTTTGATGTATCTATAGTGTTTTTGAGTGTAACTCTTTGTATAACGTTTTAAGTGAGTGTTCTAGGTACGTGTGTGTGTGTGTGTGTTATGAAAAATTTATGATGCTGTCATTGTTACCAGTTTGACTGAAGCATAGAAGCCTTATCTCTTTTTGCATTCCTTTGCCCTCACCCGTTTATAATACAATCGTCTTAAGTGTTCGCTATGTACATTTAGAACCATGTTAGTTTTCTAATTTTGGCCTTGACCTTCAAGCAATAGATTACTCAAGGGGAGAAGGAAAGTCTATTATATTTGCCCATAGTTTTGCTTATCATGTTTTTTCTTCCCAATTTTCTAAGATTTCTTCTTTTATTTTTACTGTTTAGAAAACCTCAGTTAGCCATCCCTTCAGGTAAGTCTCTTTGTGACAAATGCTCTGAAGCTTCATTTGAGAATGCCTTGATTTCCCCTTCATTCCTGAAGGATATTTTCACCAGAAGTAGAACTCTAGGCTCACTATTTTCTTTCAGTTATTGACAAATGTGTCACTTTTTGTTGCCTCCGTGTTGACGGGCTTCAGAGCGATGATGGGTTCGGAGCTGATGGCCAAGAAAATCCTGGAGCTCTCTTTGTGCAAAAAAAGGTGATTTTATTAAAGCACGGGGACAGGACCCATGGGCAGAAAGAGCTGCACTGGGGTTGTGAACAGTGACTGGTTACATACTAGGGAGTTGGGGGAGATAAAGGGAAAAGGGAGGCCTGCAGAAGGACTTTCATGTGCTAAAGGACACTCACACGTTACTGGAGGCTACTGTCAGTTTGCCTCTAGTAAGGCCTTAACGTTAGGACAGTAGGGGGTTCCTGGAGAAATGGTCTACTCTGTATTTGCCTCAAGTATTTGTCAATGGGCTGCAGATTTTTATAAGGAAATTTAATTGTACCTGCCATCTCCTTCTTGCTTTTGTTTCCCACATCACTATGGAGGGGAGGGTGACGTTGGAGCTCCAGGAAGCTCGAGTCTACAGGTTTTCTGGAGATTAGGCTACTGATAAGATTGCCCTTTTCTTATAGTTTACCAAGACGTTTGCAAACGGGTGGAGACTCGGGTGCTGTGATCTCAGTCAGTTAACCACTTGTTTTCTTTCCTTTCCTCTGTTCTCGGGCAGCCAAGAGTGACTGAGGAATAGCACACATATCCTACCTGCAGAGGGTGGGGTATGCGAGCTTGGGCTTTGCCCTCAGCTTGCTTTATGCTCCCTCGTCATTAGGATGGTAGGACGCGTCAGCTGCGCACGTGGCCTTCTCTGTGCCTATGCAGAGCGAGAGTTTCTAGAATATCCCAAATGTTCACACTGTCCAGTTTCTGACACTCTTTCTCCGAGGTAACAACAGTGCTTTCAAGGGAAGGTCAACCCAGGGCAGACCCAGCTGAACCCTCTGGGCCTTCTTTCCTTAGTGCCCTGCACTCCCCTCCCCACTCCTCTCAATCATAGTGACAGCAGCAACCTACATGTGACCACCATTTCACAGTTCACGAAGTGATTGGCCATCTGTCCCTTGTCTGGATTCTCACAAGCCCAAAAGGCAGTACTCATCTCTTATTTACATTTAAGGAAACCAAACCCCAGAGATTTGCCAGATGCCTTCCACAGGGGCCAAGGTGCCCCTCCCCCTCGGCCATCTTTATAACTTACATCAGTGTCTGCCTGCTGTGTGGCTTGTGTTAGAAGCTGGGCGTATGAGAACAGTAAGACCCAGTACCACCCAGTTTCTGCACCCAAGAACTCCCCGACTAGGTTGCAGTGGGCCGGGTGGGTGGTGAGGAAGCAGGGTTGGTGGACAGATGCATGAATCATGAGGCACAGGAATAACAAAACAAGTCCTCAGCGCCAGGCTTAATGTGAATGATGACTCCCTCAGGGGTGGCTCAGTAGAAGGGGTACCACACAAGCACCCCTCCTCCCCTCCCCTGCCCCCTCCCTACGTTCTTCCTCTCTAGCAGACCGTTCTTCCTCTTTTCAGGCAGGCCACAATCTCCACTTGCTGCTGTATTGCTGGCCCCTGGGACTGTCCCTGGTCCCCGTGCACTTGGCCCACAGCCCATCCCGGCCAGGCTGAGGCGACTTCTCCTTGGCAAGGCAGTGCAATCCTTTCCCTACTAGCTCCCCAAACGCCTTGCAGCACCTTCCCCTCCCCCACTCGCTCTGTTGTCAAATGCTGTCTTCTGTGGAATTCCAATTGAAAGCAGATTAAAAGAGAGCTGGTGCTCTCTTTCAAGAGGGATCTGGCAAGTCCAGAATCCTCTGCTCGGTTTCCACTGTAATTGTTCCTGGAGCATGTCTCTGAAAGCCCAGGGTCAGCAGGACACATTTTAGACACCAGCGACTAATTTTGCTAGCATCAGAGGGCCTGCTTATCTCACAGACCCCTCTCCCAAATGGTGGCCCAGACTAGGCTTACCACTTGCTCCACCCACCCTGCAAGAAGTGCTCCTCCTCTCACATTCCACATCCCCACTAGCCACCCAGGGATGGAGCCAGAATTTGGGCCATCACCCGTGTGGCTCCTCTTTCCCCCCACCTCCACACCAGATCCTCAGGCCGGACTGTTTACTATTGGTCAGGCCTTCTCTGTCCCTCACCTCTCACCTGTGTTCAATGTTCATGGAACTTTGTTCCCCAATAGGGGATAGTCTCAGAAAGTTTCCCTAACAGGAGCCTAAATAGAGAATGGACTACCTCTACCCCAAAACATGAAGGCAGTCTAATGAAGAGAGAGATTTGGGCCAGCAGGCTTTTCTGTGCTTAGGGCGAGTCCCCGTGAGCCAATTAACTCACAGTCCATGGAGGTGGAGCTGGTTCTGCAAGTCTGCATTAGAGAGTTGTAAACGGTGAGCCTATGTGTCAATCACAGGGACACGTGGGACCCTGGGCCTTGACAGTCACCCACCCTGTAATCGTCCTCATGTAGCATTTGGCACAAGTCACCATCCCTGCTCACAAGCTGATCTTGCCCTCCTCAGTGTCTACATGATTAAGACCAGACTTCTCCTTCCTGTGCCCAGGCTCTTTTGGAGACTGGCTCTGCTGCCCTTTGCAGCTTCAATTCCCGCCAGCCTCTCCAACAGCGCCACTGTTCCAGCCACGCAGGTGAGCTGCACCTAACGCCCTCCACATACGTCTTGCAAACCTGGATAGGACAAGGCTGAATGCAAGGAAGTTACCCAGGCCAAGGCGAGGCCCATGGTAGCTGCCCCCCAATGAGACTCCCCTGTAGAGGCATCTGAGCATCAGAGAGGAGAGTGCCCGCGTGAGGTCTCTGCTTCAAAAGAGACTTCCCGAATGCAGCCACTTCTCACCATCCTGACTACCACCAGTCTGGCCTGAGCCACCATCATCTCTCACATGGATTGTTGCCCTATCCCTTCAAAAGTCTCCTCCTTCTTCACTGGCCTTTTAAAACCATAAGGCAATCCTGTCTCTGTTTGAATCTGTCACTCAAAACCTCACAATGGTTCCCCGTTTCAGTCAGAGTGAATGGCCAAGGTCATATACCATCTGGCCCTAACATGCTCTTTGGCCTCTCCTTCCACCTCTTCTCTCTTTACTCAGCTTGAGCCTTCTGCTCCTCAAAACCTGTCAGACCACCCCACCTTAGGCTCTGTGCACTAGCTTTGTGCCCTCTGCCCGGAACATTCTCAGTCCAGATAGCCACATGGCTCGCTTCCTCATCTCTTTCAAGCCTTTGCCCAAATGCCACCTTTTCAGAGTGGCCTTCCCTTTTAAAATTGTAAGCCAGCTCTCCCTCCCTAATCCCCACCCCCGCCCCCAGCATTCTGGATCCTTCTGACCCTTCTTACTCAGTTCAAACTATTTTTCTTTTCTCATGGCACTTATCACCTTAGAACACACTATACAGTTAAGTAATAAACTAATTTCTATCATCTGTCTTTGCCTACCAGAATGTGGACTTTAGAAAAGCAGGAATTTTTAAAATGTTTTGCTCCCTGATATAACCCAGCTGCCTAGAACAGTCCCTGGCATATATTGTGCCTCACTAATTATATGTTGCTTTAAGAAACCCTTCCAGTCTTTCACAATTTCATCTCCTTGGCCCACAGGATACACCTGGCTGGACTTAGATGCTTTCACACTCACACATCCCCAGAGCACAGAGACACATGCTTGGAGATTCGGGATATATGTGTGGATATGTAACCGTAAGCTGACAACTAGATACTTTTTTACCTTTCAACATATATTCACACATGCAAAGACAACACGTGCACGTATACAGGCACAGACCAATCACATTAAAAAATTTTTTTAAAAATCTTTATTTAATTGGGAATGAGCACTGGGTGTTATATGGAAACCAACTTGACAATAAACTAAAAAAAAGATTGAAAAATTTTTATTTATTTTTGGGAGGCAGAGAGACAGAGTGCAAGCGGGGGAGGGGCGGGGAGAGAGAGGGAGACACAGAATCTGAAACAGGCTCCAGGCTCTGAGCTAGCTGTCAGCACAGACCCTGACGCAGGGCTCAAACCCATGAAGCGTGGGATCGTGACCTGAGCTGAAGTCGGATGCTTAACCAACTGAACCAGCCAGGTGCCCTACAAATCACATTTTAAAAATAATTTTTATTATGACTTTGAGGCATCTTTTTTGGCCAAATTCTATTATAAAATATTTCAAACCTACAGAATAGTTGAAGGAATTACACAGTAAACACCCACCACGTGGATTGTACAGATAATATTTTGCTAATTTGATCTATTGTACCTTTATCTATGAATATATTTTTCTATCCATCCATCAAAACATCCTATATGCATTTCAGTATTCTTTCCCCATAAACACTTCAGCATTATGGAGAATTCAATAATTGTTTGCTTTTTAGGTAAACTTTACATACAGAGAAATGCACAAATCTTAAGTGTACATTTACTGAACTTTGAACAAGTGAGTTTTTGACCTGTGTAACTCAGGTTTTTAAGTCTCTTACTAAAATTTTTTAATGTTCATTTATTTTTGAGAGAAGAAGAGAGACAAAGCTCGAGCGGGGAAGGAGCAGAGAGAGAGGGAGACACAGAATCCAAGGCAGGCTCCAGGCTCTGCGCTGTCAGCACAGAGCCTGATGCGGGTGAGGTCATGACCTGAGCTGAAGCTGGACGCTTAGCCAACCGAGCCACCCAGGTGCCCCATCAAGATAGAGAGCATGTTGTCACTCCCAACATTCCCATCATGCCCCTTCCTGGTCAATTCACTAGCTGAGGCCACTACTACTCTGATTTTTTTTTTTTTTTTTTTTTTTTACGATGGGCTAGTTTTTGCCTGTTCTAGAATTTCATGTACACAGAATAATTTTACATGTACTTACATTTATTTATTCATTCAATAAAAAAATCATGTAGCACCTACCATATGCTCAGAAACCTATATCTGATGTCTGTTCACGGGGACTCATGAGTTCTCCTGGACTGACCAAAGACCAAAGCTATGTCTAGGCATGGCCCGTGACCACCTCTCTCCTCTCCTGTAATCACCTTGTCACTGAGAGATTACGCACATGCAATTGGGCGTCATAAACAGAAATGCAGGCCACGAGGCAAGTGGGTGCCCTGGGCTCCTCTCTGTCTGCCTCTCCTCCCGATGACACTGGCTCTGGAGGCCTCTCGTCAGCCCCCAAACCCCCTCCCACTCATTTCCCACACCAGACCTTCATCTGCATCTCTTTACGCAGGTGTGCAAGAGGGTGTCACAATCTCAGCCTAGGCTGTGCCCAAGTGGGTAAAAGTGCAGTTGGGTAGACCGCTGGAAGGAGCTGGGCAAGCAGAGGCGGTATGCATCCCTGCTATCATGTGGGGGGTGGAGACTAGCTAGGGGCTGGAGAAGAAAGCATGAAATGACGAAATACTGAAGGCTACTGAACAATCAAGCCTAGGAAACCGAAGGAACAGCACTCACTTGGAGCCCCTGGAGACCGTGAGCATGATGTTCTTGCCCTCTAAGAAGGACCTTAAGACTGCCCTGGAGGTCTTTGCTGTTTTCCAGTGGCCCCTAAGTGTCTTTATTATTGGTGAGTGTTCAAAGCCTTTGGTAGGGTGACCAACTGCCTTGGTGTGCCCGGGACCGAGGGGTTTTAGGGTTCAGTAGGATCTTGAATGCCAAAGCCCGTGTTGTCACAGGCATTGCCTGACATGCCTGGAGTGGTACTCATGGAATCTCTGAGTGTACATGAGTGTGTGTGTGTGTGTGTGTGTGTGTGCGTGCGTGTGTGCGTGCGTGTGCGCATAGGGGTATGTGCCTAGGTAGGGGTGCATATGCATGTGTGCAAGCGAGCCTGGATGCAGACGTGAATGGTGAACTCTCTTGGGTCTACGCTGGGGCGTGCTGGACGTGTTTTGGGAAGATGTGGAACAGTTTCACTGAGGTTAGCTTAGGGAAAGGACGTAGCTGCAAAAGGACTTAGCTGTTCATGGACTTGAACAGACCACCAGTGGGGAATAGCTGCCTGGTGGCAGATGAAGGCTCTGAAAACCTCTTGTCCAGAGCAATCCATCTATGTATCCAGCCATTCCCTTCCTCCCCCGACTATGTACACCACAAACACTTTGTGAAAGTTACTTAGATGCTGGCCACTGTGTTCTAGGTGCTGAAGGAAAGCATCCCTGTGGGAGAGGGACCACCCGGAAAAAAATTCTCATGTGTCAGGTGGTTTAAGTGAGTACTAGCTGGAGGCAAGGCTATGAACCAAATGACCTTGTAAGATATCTGGGAAGGACTGCAGGCAGGCCTTGGGGGTCTGGGGCCTGCCAGTGAATATGAAGAGTGGGCTAGAGGACAGGCAATGGGAGGCTTGGAGGCCTACCTGGGGTGGGCATTGGGACCCCTCTGTGCTGAAAAGAGCAGTGTCCACCTAGGAATGATTAGCAATCAGAGCTGGAAGAGACCAGCAGGAAGGAATTCATATGTATTAGGTACTTTGTACCTGCTTCTTCATTTTAGCCTCACACCAACCTTATGAGGTAGATGTTATTATTATTATGCATAATAATACTATATATAACACACACACGCGCGCGCACACACACCAATAGCCACACGTACATAATAAGCACTAACACTCATCTTAGCTAACATTAATTGCATCCTTTTATCGTGTCAGGCACTGTTCTAAGCACCTTATGTGGCTAATAAGCTCCATTGTACAGATGAGGAAGCTGAGGTACACGTAGTAGAAGTGGTCTGTCCAAGACCACACAGCTTAGGAAGCAGAGTAACTGGCCTGGGAGCTGAACCCAGAAGGGCCTGATGCCAGCCCATGAATTCCTTTCCCCACCTCTTGCATCAGCTCACTCAATGCTGATTGGCAGGTTGGGTCTGGACGTGTCCCTGGAGCACATGCCAGGCCAGGGTGCAGGCTAATTCCTAATTGTCTCATTTAAAATTTCTGTTAGCTGCCCATTCATGACCTTTGCCCGTTTTTTCCTGTTGAATGAGTTGACTCTTGAAGGGAAAATAGGAACCAGGTGAAGAGGGAGGAGGGTTCAAGACAGAGTGGATAACACATGACGAAGCTAGGATGAGGGGGAGCCAAAAGCATGCCAGGAGCTGCCAGTGGTTAAGTGGGATGAGAGGCCAAGAGGCACAGAAGTGATGCCCAATACGTATCGAATGAACGAACGGGAGCCAGAAGAAAGAGGACATCGGAGAAGCAGGCAGGTCGGGGAGGACTGTGCAGGGCATTGTAAACTAAGGAGCAGGGTTTGGACTTTTTCCTGAGGGTCCTGTGGAGCCATGACAGGCTTTGGCACGGGATGCCAGCATCAGATCTGCGTTTTCAAGAGATCACTGTAGCTCCGTGTAGTAAATTGGTTATAGGAAGAGGCTGTTTCAATCATCCAGGTGAGAGGCAGTGGTGATTCAGACCAGACCAGTAGTTGTTGGGATAGAGACAAGAGGGAAGAAAAGGAGAGTTTCAAGAAATTGGAACAGAATTAACAAGACTTGATGATCAGAAGACAGCGGCAAGAGAAAAGGAAGAGGCAAGACAGAGGGCTTAGGGCCCAGTCTGAAGTGGAGGAGAGGAGGCTGAAGGAGGTGCGTGGCCAAAAGGGAGATGAGCGCAGGGGGCAGCGTCTGACTGAGGGACATACAGAGAGGTAGTATGGAGCAGGCAGGAGGGCTCTAGGCCTGGGCCTCAGGAGATGTGGGTCCCAGCACTCTCCCTTCCCTTGCTAGATCACGTGGGGTGGGTGGAGCAAATGCCCCTTGGAACCTTCTGAGCTCTTCACCCTGTGCATGGAATTGTATCCCTGTGGACCCTAAAGGCCTTGAGAGACGACCCTCACAATAAGTCTATGAGGAACATAGGGCAGACATTGGTTGTGTAATTCCCACTTGGCAGAAGATGTTCAGTGACTTGTCTGAGATCATACTTACGGTAGATGGCAGAGCTGGGATTCATCTCACTGCCAGGGCACTCTGCCTGTGTCCACGTTGCCTCACAACGTGTCCCCAGCCCCATCTGGGTAGAGCAAAGCCTGAGGGAAAAAGGGAAGTCTCTTCTGGACTAGACCCATGACTGTATTTCTTGAAAAAGTCAAATAGTTTTATAAGGAGTAGACCAAAAGCCAAAAACTGCTGGCCTTTGTTTCATCATTACGTCTGTGCCCTAGAGGCAGTCATTTTCAGCTTTCCTAGCTCTTTCTGCCGGTATTTATCTCCATGTATCTACATTTTACTGTTTAAAATGTAAATATTACCATTTCCTGATTTAACACCTTTAGACGTCGTCACTGGCTTTCTAATACGGAAGATGAGAATTTGGTTCTATTCACTATTGCTAGATCTGTCCTTTTCCTTCATCCTCCCGAGATCGTTATAGCACAGGCTTTGGTTAAATACCTGACTACGACTTGGAGTATCCATGGTTGAGCCATTTACTGTACTGAGAGTATATTTCCTTTCTTGTACAATTTTCTGTTTTCCCTGGAACTTACAATTGCCTCATTTTAAACTTCTTTTATGATCCGGGCACCTGGGTGGCTCAGTCGGTTAAGCATCTGACTTAAGCTCAGATCATTATGTCATGGTTGGTGAGTCTGAGCCCCGTGTGAGGCTCTGTGCTGACAGCTCAGAGCCTGGAGCCTGCTTTGGATTCTGTGTCTCCCTCTCTCTCGGCCCCTCCCCCACTTGTGCTCTGTCTCTCTCTGTCTCTCAAAACTAAGTACATGTAAAATAAAAACATTAAATTTCTCTTATGATCTATTAGCTATCTATTAGTTACACCAATTCATCTTCAAATTCGCCACAGACATACTAATCTCTCAATATGAGCAAACACATCAGGAATCTGCGAGGACCTCTCCCCTCCCCCACTGTTTATTTCTTTGAGGATATTGCTGCTGGAGTCCAGCATCTTCCTGTTACAATCTGGTCTTACGCCTAGCTCTCACCTCCAGGGCCCTTGAGGTGCCTTGGGTACATAATTTAAGAAGGTGCTCACTCTCCGGGTTGTGCAAGTGTTCGGCCAGTACTTGCCTGACCCTGAGAGTGTCTTCTGAAATTTTGTGCCCCAAGTGCCTTGCTTGCCTCACCCTAGCCCTGGCCCTGGTCACTTCTTCCTCCGTTGGCTCCTTTTTTTCTCCTGGATCCCATGCTTTCCTCTGCCTTGGTTTACTCCCTTATCTTGATGGACCACATCCTCCAGTAGTTTCCTGAGAAAGAGACACGGGAGATAAACTCTCTGAGACTGTGTGTCTGAGATGGTCTCTTCTTTCATACTTGATTAACAATTAGGCTGCATATAGAATATCTTAGCTGTGTGTACTCTAAGTGTCTGAGTTAGAGTCTCTTTGGTTCAATTTTTCAGAGAATAGTCCTCTCGTTGTCCAACTGTGTAGGGGCAGGGATGGGATCTGGGATTCTAACTACTTCTTTGGTAGACTTTCAATCAAGCCCTGTTCCTCATACTGCTTTTTGTCACATCTGGTGACGTGAAATTCTGAAGCTTGTCCTTGTAGCCATTCCCCTCGCAAGTAACTAGGTTTCAACTTTCTTTGTTTGAAGTCACTCCTTCCTCCATCTACTTTCCAGCATGCAAACATTTTGCCGGTATCTCTTGTCCACTCTCGTTGGCATCTAATTCTTTTTCTCCTCACAGATCCGTACTTTTTAAAACATTCTTATGGTAATTTTAATGAGGCCTTGGCAAGGAGTCAAGATAAAAACTTGTGGGGCACCTGGGTGGCTCAGTCAGTTAAGCATCTGACTTCAGCTCAGGTCACAATCTCATGGCTTGTGGGTTTGAGCCCTGTGTCAGGCTCTGTGCTGACAGCTCAGAGCCTGCTTCAGATTCTGTGTCTCCTTCTCTCTCTGCCCTTCCCACACTCGCACTCTCTCTCTTTCTCTCTCAAAAATAAACGTTTAAAAAAAAAAAAGATGAAACTTGTGTTCAATCTGTCATGTTCATTTGGAAGTGTTTTCTGCCTTTTCTAACATTTATTTTGACCCACGTTCTCTCACATAGTCTCATTCACAGCTGGTTTAAAAACTGAGTCCAGTAATAATTCTAAGTGAGTGTGGCTCCTAGGACTCATCTCCATTATGTCCATCCTATTTACTCTACCCTGCAGTGCTCCTGTCGTACTGGAGCTTAACACAGCCCAGTGTCTTATTCTGTGCCAGCTTGCATTTTCCCCTTGTTTCTTGTTTGCGAACCTGTGCGCTCCCAACCTGGCTGATACTGGGTCTTTTCTTTCTCTTGTATTCCCTCCACTGATGCCTCACAGAGAAGATCTGGAGAGGAAAACGTTAGTGAGAGGAAACCTGCTCCCGGCTCTGTTGTTGTCTAGGACTCCCAGCCTCTAGTGGGTAGATCAGGGCGATGCACCATTGGCTCCCTGCCATTGAACACAGCCCAGAGCTACTCCCGGGGAGGAGAGGGCTTACTGCATGGAGCACAGCTGGGGAGAAAAACGTCTAGTCTTCCAGACCTGAAACAGGTTCCCAAGGACAGACAGGAGATGGAGGGTTGGGGACGCGGGCACACAGACCATGCATTAGGGAGAGGAAACCATGAGCATTGGGTGAGCTTGGGGTGGGGAGAGTGTGTGTGACCTTGAAGTGGAGAGACCCCAGGAGGGAAGGAAAGTGTGAAGGACTGTTCATAATTCATTAACTCGGGGCTGGGCTTCCCTGCAGTAACCACTGTAATCTTTGTCAACCTGTACCTGGTGGTGTTCACATCGTACTGGCCTGTCACTGTGCTCATTCTCGCCTGGCTAGCTTATGACTGGAAGACCCCCGAGCAAGGTAAGGGCCCCCCTGGGGGCTGTGTTGCTACCTGCCACAGGCTTTTTCTTCCTCTCTTATTATAGTCCTGAGAGGCTTTAGGCCAATTCCTGGGCAGTCCTTAAACCTGTCCCTACCTGGGTTAGAGAAGCTGAGGGAAGGGGTCTTTTAAAAGCGCTAGAAAGGCCCAGATCAAAACTGTAGTGGGTTAGGGGAAAGGCAGCTAATAAATCAGATGTGTAGGCTTGTCCAAAAATGGCCCATCTGTGAGAGAGCCCATCCTGGAGAAGACAGAGGGGGTGGGGAAAACTTGGCTCCATTGGCTCCATTTTCAGGTGGCCGCCGGGTTAAGTGTATGCGGAATTGGTACCTGTGGAAACTCTACTCTGATTACTTCCCCCTTAGGGTAAGTAGCCCCCGACCCCCACTTGGGTCCCAGCCCCAGCCCCAACTCCGATGCCACTTGTTGGGCCAGGGTGGAGGTTGAGGGCATCATTCCCATCGAGGCCCAAGTGAAAGGTGCCCCCGGGAGCTGTGTGTGACCCAACCTGTGTGGCGGGACACAGCAGCCCTTTCCCCTTCTGGGTCTCTGGCCCGAAGAGGAGTACTCTGACTTGGCTATGCCCCTCCTGACTCCACTTTCCTCCACAGCTGTTGAAGACTCATGATATCTCCCCCGGCCACAACTACATCCTTGTCTGCCACCCTCATGGGCTCTTGTCGCACTCATGGTTTGGCCACTTTGCCACAAATGACTTACTCTTCTCCAAGATCTTTCCTGGTATCACTCCTCATATCCTCACACTGGGAGCCTTTTTCTGGGTTCCGTTACTCAGAGACTATGTCATGTCTTCAGGTGAGTTGGCTCCAAGGACATAAAGCCAAAGGAAACATGGTTCCTTAAGGGAGAGGTGTCGGGGGAATGGGCGGGAGCAAGGCCGAATCAGTGATCCTCTCTGGTCTTAAAAAGCTACCTTAGGCTCACCTGCCTGATGTGAGGCTTTCCCTCCTTGAAGATGTATGGAGGAAGGTTAGGAGGTGTGGGAAGTGGCCAATCAGCTTTTGGCGTTTTCTGCCTACCAGGGGCCTGCTCTGTGAGCCAATCCTCCATGGACTTTCTGCTTACGCACAGAAGCACAGGCAACATGCTGATTGTGGTGGTTGGTGGCCTGGCTGAGTGCAGATACAGCCTGCCAGGCTCTACCACCCTGGTCTTGAAGAACCGAACTGGCTTTGTCCGCATAGCCCTTCAGCATGGGTAAGGACAGCTCCGGTCCAGAATGGGGAGAAGGGCTCCAAGAGCCTAGCAGGGAAGGAGCGATGGGTTTTAAAGAAATTATATCTAAAAAGGGAGGTATAAAGTTGCTTCAGTGTTGGAGTAGAGCCCGGGCCAGGTCCTGGAGACATTTCTGCTTGTGAAGAAAGCCTAGAGGGCCAGCCCTGAGCTGTTCTCCCTCACACTAGTCTCTCATCTGGGCCAGTACTTCTACAAAAGTACCTTACAAAACGCAGTAGCCTCATGTCAGAGAGAACCAGGATTACTGCCTGGGTTAAAGGGAAGAAAGCTAAATGAGCTAAATGAGGTCCAGTGTTTCAGACCTGTGGGTTCACAGGAGGGTCTGGGACTTGCTTCCCGTAGCTTGCTGCTATCTGGCCCCTACAGGCAGCCTGGGGTACACAGTGGGGCCCTCACACTTAGTCTGGATGTAGGCCCAGCTAAGTTAGGTGCTAAGAAGCCTATAGGGGGACCCAGGGACCACTGGTAGTCAGCACATATGGTTTTCGGCAGGGCGCCTGCCTTTCTGGCATCACCATATGCCTTTCCTCTGCAGAGTGCCTCTAATCCCTGCTTACGCCTTTGGGGAGGCAGACCTCTACAATCAGCACATTTTCACTCCCGGGGGCTTGGTGAATCGATTCCAGGAGTGGTTCCAGAGTATGGTACACATCTATCCTTGTGCTTTCTATGGACGTGGCTTCACTGAGAACTCCTGGGGCTTACTGCCCTACGCTCATCCTGTAACCACCATCGGTGAGTGAGCCTTTCCACTGGCAGCCACATCCAGGGTATAGGGTCCAGCTCTGAGGCCGAGCCTCGGGTCTGGCTGTGTGTGGAGGCAGAGAAGCTGGCCAGGATGAGGGGCATGGCTGCAGTAAGGGTGGCGCAACCTGAGCATGAGGGCCGAGGCCCATTCTAAGGAGCGAGCTGTTCTGATGCTTTCCCCCTTTTCCTTCTCTGTCTCCTCTGGCAGTTGGGAAGCCTCTGCCACTGCCCAAGATTGAGAACCCCAGCCAGGAGACTGTGGCTAAGTACCATGCACTCTATGTTGATGCCCTACGCAAACTGTTTGACCAGCATAAGACAAAGTTTGGCATCTCAGAGACCCAGGAACTGGTGATAGTTTGACAGACATCCCGAGCAGCTTCTCAGCCTGGAACCCGTGAAATGGGACAAAAGTCACCTGTGGGCCTCCTGTTCCCGATTTGGCCAGACCTCAATATGAGGTGGGGCTGTCCATGTGGCTGTTCTCTAGACCCCTCTTCTTCCTTCATCTCTCTCTCCTCCTTCCAGCTCCTCTCTGACTTTTCCTTGGGACTACAAGGGAAATAGTCCCCAGACTCAGGGAAATCCCTAAGAGGGAAGTACCCCGAGTTTTCCCTCACCCATGCTCACTCAGCATCAGGACTGAGGAAGATAATGGACAGAATAAAAAACTTATCCTCGGAACGTCTCGTGCCGCAGCTAGTCTGTTTTAAGGGCCTAGGATCCATGATAATGGCTTTGCTTCTCTAGCTCTCACGCAGCCCCATCTCCTGGCATCGAGACTCCTGCAAGACTGGGTGCCTTGAGATTCCATGCGCTTGGAGTGCAGACTCCACCACCCTCAAGCCATATGTCGCAGAACAATCTGTCACCTCTGGGCCCCAGGTGCCTCATCTGTAGGCCTAAGACTCACCCCCTTGCTTACCTCGGAGGCTATTAGGAAGATCAAATGATACTGAATGTGATTGAACTTTGTATCTTGGACAGCTACACAGAATTCTTCTTCTTCAGTTATTGGGCCCATTTCCTATCTTTGAGCAAACTATGCCCTAAATTCCATGAATCTCAATGTTTAAAAGAACGTTTACAGTGTAAGAACTTGTCAACAGCCCTTAGAAAGTTGAAGTAACCTTTCTAGTTGGGCAACCTACTTAGGCATTGGTCTCCTCATCTGCAAAATGGGATGATACATCACGGGGGGCTGGAGGCTTGATCTACCCACGCTGTTATGGGCACAGGCCTGAAATATCCATTACAGATGCACAGTGTCAAGCTGAGGGTAACTCCATGCTGTGTCTCTGCCTTGGGACAACGTTCCTTTCTTTGTAGGACCTCTGGCTTACTGGACAGGCAATTACAGGAAATGATCTAAGGTGGTGGGGATGGGGACGTGTGGCCTGATGCACAGAGAGGATGTGGGATGTTCTGACAGGAAATTCAGACCTCCTCCCTTCTGTTGCCCCGTCTGAAATGAGTGCCTTGGTCCTTCCCTTAGTACACGTGCGGCAGCGCTTGCAAAGAAGCACCTAGTGCTTAAGTCGATTTCAAGAATGGGGGAAAAAAGCTTTATTTGCAAAGAACGAACTGTTAATTTACACAAACTTACATCCCAGTTTATATACATTATATATAGTTTATGTACACAGTATCTCACACTGGATGCTGACTCCCCAAAGCAGCACTGGGCCTGCTCCAGGCCAATCTCCCTGTGAAGCCCACCCCCCACCCCAGGTGGAAGTTTTCTGAATAAAGAAACGACACGCCCCAAGTCCTCTTGGAGAGAGCCCTGACGTGCGTGAATGAGAAGAAACAGTCTGGTTCCCTCTTTGTGCTCACGTAGCCTAGGGGAGGCTCTAGGCCGGCAGGTGGGGGCCAAGGCAGTGCCAGGGCAGCCTCAGGACTTCCTGGTATTAGGCCAGTGGACAGCCTTTCAGTCCAGAGGCGTAGCACGGAGAAGGAATGCCTTGGGGGAGGAGTTCTGGCAAACGCTACAGCTACTCTTTTCCCTGCCTGGCCAGGCTCCTGAAGGGGGCCAAGCATTTCCAGCCTGGAGTCTGCGGGTAGAACAAAGAAGGGGTTTTGGGTGGGACAGGGGCTACTCCACCCCCTAACTCTTTTGTGTCTGCAGGTCAGGGTTCCTTCACCTTGGGTGGGTCACCTTCCATCTCCGGGCCTCTGTTTCTAGCTCTAAATTTCTCTGAATCTGTTTGCGTCCGCCGGGAGTTACATGAAACACATGTACTCACACGTGGATCAAAGTCTTTGTTCACCTCCAGGGTCCTTAGCCCTTTCCTACCCAGGAAAAGAGATCTGGCTCAGGATGGATTAACGGGGACCTAAGGCAAAGACTACATGTCCCAAGGAGCCAGTAGCCGAGTGGCCCCCAAAAGCCGTCTTTTCTGCCAGCCTTGGCTGTTGAACGCCAAGTAGCTGGCAAAAGCCCCTGCCATGCAATTGTCCTTCAAACCTCTGCCATCTGCTGGCTCACAACTGTCCTCGTCTCATTCTCCACACTAGCCTTGGCCCTCTGGTGAACTCACATCAGCGGAATTCCAGACTATAAATCTATTTCCACATCCTCTTACTAGTAAATTGCTTCACCACTTGGCCAACGACTCTGCTCCCTTTAGGGTTCCTTTCAGGGTTCCACAATGAATAAAGGGTCCTGTGCAAATCCCTTTCCCCCTATAATCTCCTCTGTATCTGGAGAATAGAATGGGTTTCAGAATGTCCTTTAGGAGTACAATTAGGAAGCCTTCTCCTCTCCTCTCCTCTCCTCTCCTCTCCTCTCACACATTTGTCTTTAGAGCCAGTCTTCCCTTGGGTCTTACCTTCAGTAGGATAGATCCTGGCACTACAGGGCTCTCTGTGGCATAACAGAAAGAGATAAGGAGTCACTTAGCTATGGGAAGTGGACCAGCTCCTATAAACTGTCTGCAGGGGAACCAACAGAAGACCTCACCTGCAGCAGGGGCTCGATACGTGATGGGAGGCTGGGTCACCAGGTGAGTGGGCAAACATGAGAGGTACAGTTCTGTGGGTACTAGAGGCCTGCTGCTTAGACATGGGGCCGAGACAATTCTTCTGACCATAAGAGCTCTAGGGCTGATGGCTGTTGCCCCAATAAATGACCTACTCTTTTGCCACAAAGCCCCTGGCAGCTAAAAGAACGTCAAGGAGTTGCCATCAAGGAATGAAAATGAGCATTTCTGGGTTTCTCTCAGGGACGCGGAAGGATCTGGGGTCCTTATTCCCATTTTTATTGATTCTCTCTAGACCGCAAATTCAACACAATGCTGTGGCACAGTGGAATAGCTCTGGAGTCCGACCTGGCTGAGATCCTGGTCAAAGCACTTAACCTCTCTGAGCCTTGTCTAAATGATGGGAATCATAGCATTATCGAAGGAGATAAGAGGAAAGTACTTTCCAAACTGTAAGGAGAGATTCCCTTCAGTTCTTGCTACAACTGAGGACTGTCTAAGGCAATTTAGAGGAGCCTGGGCCAGACACATGCCTACGGTTTGCCCCACCTGGGGTTGCAAGCCTCTCATTAGCAACCAGACAGAGACATCATAGCCCACCACCTCTTGCCCTGACCCTTGAAGGGCCAAGCACTGTAGCTGTTTAGAAAGGGAAGGTACAGCTGAGAAATGAGTCCCTGTTCTTAGGGGGGGGGGTGTTCCACTGCCTGAAGGGCTTTATCCCCAATCTCCTCAAAGGGACACTTGTTTCAGGAGTGGAAGTAGCAGACTATACAAGATTGGCCCTCCTCAGCTTTGGGGTAGACCCAGCATCCAGAAACTAGACTGGCCCCAGGGAGTTAGAAATAAGGCCCTTGAATGGTCCCACTATGATTCAGTGGGAAGCCTGGTGTGGGAGGAAGGTGTCTTTGGGCCTGGCTACAGGGCAGAGCCTTGACCAGTGCCTAGATGCTGGCTTCTCTTGAGCCTGGATTCAGGGAAGCATCACTGGAATCCATGGTGACTCTGCTGTGGCTTTGTGAAGAAAGGTGGGTCAGTAGGGCATCAGCTGCTGCCCTTTTGGATAAGGCCTAGGCTAATGACCACTTGGGGGTGCAGCAAGCCTGAGAAAAACTAACCCACTGTCCTCTCCTCTTTCTTGTCCTTTTGGGGTCAAGCAGAAAAGTTCTGCCTTGCTGATTTCCAGGGGCAGGCTAGGGTTTGGGAATTTTCGTAGACTATCATAGAAGCTGCCAAAATACTAGAATTTGAAGGGACTCCTAGAGGCCATCCAGTCCAACCTATTGCTCCCAGACGCAACTTGACTAGATGAATATTTGTATTGCTTAATAAATGGAAAAGTCTCTTTGTGCCCGGGTAATCTAAAGAGTATCCCAGACTCGCATAAGCACAGGTCCCAGATTAGGCACCTGTCTCAGACAGAGGTAGGCTCTGTGGAGAAAAAAGACAGGAGTTCTGGTCGGGCTGGGAAAGAGGGCAATTGGAAAGGGACCCGGAGATTTTTCAGAGTGTGGAGCATGGCTGTAAACAAAGTGCAAGACGTGTGGCCCCGAGTATGCCTCCAGGTTCTTATGCAGGCAGGCTTCTGGCCATTTTCTGTGACCGCTCCAAGAGCAAACCTCCTGTCTCCAAAGCCCAGTGGGCTGCCTCAAAGTGGCGCTCAGCCTGAGCAGAAAGAGTGCTCTGACCCTCCGGCAGGCTGCGGTGCAGAGCAGCAAGGACGCTCCCACTGCTGAGGGTGCCCCGTTTGGCGGGCTTCTCCTTCGGCCTCTGTCACAAGCACCTACCTTGCCCTTCCCTGCCTCCCTGCTCCCGCTTCAACACGCCCCTAGCCTTGCCCAAGAGAGGAACTACAGCCCCTTAGAGCCAGAGGTTTGCCCCTACAGTCTGGAGTCCACCTTTGCTTCATTTTGCCTGCTACCCTGGAACCCCACTTTAGTGCAAGAAACTAAATTTGACAACAGGAACCTTGAGGTTGAAGAGTCATGCCAGGAGCCAGTGAACACGGAGCCAAGGAAGAAGGTCCTGCTTCATGCAAAGTCTGGGGCTCCATTAACTGTCCTGTTCACTCAAGGTTGTTCTGGGAATTCAAGCAGGCCTTGTCATCCTAGAGTCACCGGCGAATAAATAGCACTGGGGTATTTGTCTCTGTGGCTGCAACACCCATATACCTCATTCCACAGCAGCATGTAGAGGTTCTGGGAGTCCTGGCTCCCAAACCTGGGGTAGGAGCAGGGGCAAAACGGAGGGCGGGGCGGGGGGGGGGGTATCTAAGATGCAGGGGCCTCGCCCAGCCTGATGGCCCCAAAGAAGGTGGTGTGCTTGCTCATATTGATAGAGATGTCGGCATGCACCATCTTCACGGCAATCTTCTGCCGGGCTTTGAGGAGGCAGACGCCCGCGGTGTAACAAGTGTTGTAGTTGGTTTTGCCTGTCTCGATGCTGCGGGTACACTGAAGGAAGGGCTTCTCATCCACCACCACCTCATAGCTGGCAAAGTCAGTGAAGTTGATGTAGTATACCTGGGTGAGAGGCAACAAGAAGGGATTGGGGAAGAGAGGAAAGAGAGGGTGGGGCCCTTCCCTGCTACGAACAGACAGGACTGTCTCAGATGAGCTGCCAGCACACCTTGTGAAGGGGGCAGTGCCACTGAGGGCGTGTTAGTTGGTCA